TCTCTTTCCCTCCCGCCCTGCAGGAAAGCTTCCTGCCCAAGAGGGGAGCCCCCAGCTCTGAACTGCTGCAGAGAAACTGGTAAGTACCTATTTCTGCAAGAGTACGGGCCTTCAAAACTGTACTAAATTTGAAGCCCACATATCTGAAACAAGAAAAAAAGTCAAGCACCAACTGCCAGTACTGAAGCTCGCCTTACTTTCTGGATATAAATGAAGAAACAAGAAGAAAAAGTTTAAGTTACTGCAGACTTGGTATTTAAGAGCACCAAGGGCTTCAGTGCCGAAGCCACGATTAGCACTGCCAGCTTCTCAGCTGCTTCACAAGTCATGCTCTCTATGAGCTGGTGTTTCTTTCCCTAGTCTATCAAGAATATTTTAGCACCAAACCACAAATTTATATCCAGCGAGAATATGTGTTTACATGAAACACGGAAAACCATGGGAACCAAGATGACATATCAGTATACTATAATTTTCATGGTTGCATCAAAAGAAAGCCTCCTTCTTTCACTGAGCAGTAACAAACCTCCACTCCATCAGCACAGTCACAATATTTCTGCCAATTGTACAAAATGCAGTAGAGTGTTTTAATAAATCCTTCAGCAGCCTCCATCCAGACAGCCAGAGGAAGAAACTTTTCCTAAGGCCCGTGACAGACACTTTGTTTTAAGAAAAAGGCATACGCTCCGTGCAGCTGCTGGGAGACACATGCAATTTTACACAGCGACACAGACACGTCACCAGGGGCTGCAGGGTGGCAGAGGGTGTCCCGTGCCGCTCCAYCCAGCAGCAGTAGCTTAGAGCAATCCCTTGTCCACCCTGCATTACGCTGCAGCCCAGAGGGATTGCTGGGGCAATCCTGGCTTTCCCGAGGAACACATACAGGAAGAGCAAGGCAGCACCCGCCACGAGAGACAAGGATTCACTCACTAGGGAAACTACTAACTGTACATTACAGGGACAATTCCCCCTTGAAATACACGGGGAAGAAGAGATATCTACACTTTTAAACCCAAACTTTAAATGTTTATGCTGTTCTACAGGTCAGTCATACAGAGGAGACTTTGGGACTGATTCTTTTGTAACTTAAACTGATGCTTCACTGTTTTTGCTCATTGGCTTTACTGCAGCTGTGATTATGTCACACAAAATACATTATCAGTAGCTAAGTATCATAGCCTCAAGTCATGGCAGGTTTAACAGGTTTAAATGGAGACCGAGTTGAGTGTCACCTCACGGAGGGCCTACTGTCCAAAGCAGTCGGATTCCCACTGCAGCACGAGCTACTGTGATCAGAATCACAGGCATTCGGCGGGATATCCTGCCCGCCTGCCTCGATTTTTGTGATACGAGGGTCTGCCTCCTAGTCCTACAGGAAAAGGAGTCTCCCAACAGAAAGTGAGCATCAGCTGATACAATGAAAAGTCACTACTCTTTGCCTTTCCAAACCACTGAGGAAAGAAATGAGTGACACGCTRTTAGAGCTTAAGTATCTGTGAAGAGCAACAAAACGTCTACATCCACTATTGGTTTTACATAACTAATGGTGAGGAGAAGACAAGAMAAATAAGCAGCATAGCGGAACACCTACAGGATGCAAGAAACAGAGCATAAAGCTTGGAAAAATACAGAGTAACAACAGTTTCTTTTTCTTTTGTTCTGTATCTCCTTAGAGTCCACTGAAAAGTCCTCTGCTCACTGAACACACAACTGAGAGCTTCAGGTTGCTGGAGAGGTATAACAAGAGAAGGAGACCAGGCGGAGAATTCAAGAGCAACAGGAGGTTACCAGAGACACCAGGAGCACCAGGGCTGCAGAACCGGGTTCCTCATTGGCAGGACACCTCCAGGTCTTCTTTAACCCGCTTCTTTTGTTCAGTCATTCAGATGATAGGTTTTGTGGCTTTCCTGATGTCTCCATGGTAAAAAAAAAAAATGGACTAACAGGTATTTCAGGTATCAAAGRGAGATTAGTTTTCTGAGAATTCACATATTCTCAGACAGCTAAATTCTAGAATCAAGAACAGGCCTAGTAACAAAAACTGGGATGTTGTCTGACACTGAGAGTCACAGGCTTCTGTGTCAACCCTCTTGTCTCCACTGACCAACACCATTTCCCTCGCAGCATAACCTAAATACTGCATACCCTTCACTGCCTTATTCGTAAATTATCCTAATATCTCTCTTGCACTCTTACCTTCTTGTATCTCTCATCCAAAACTGATAGACTGCTGGCAAGAATAATACCCTCAAAATCCCTCTCTTTTCCTTCAGTTGAAATCAGGCAATTAGGTAGATCTTGTAATTTCTCCTGTTTTGCAAATCTGCAACTGGCCTTATCTCACTTCCATTTCTTATACATAATTTCATTAACTTTTATCTAGAATATTGTAGTACCTTTATTTTTCTGAATCAGTTCACTGAGTCAGCTGTGGTGAAACTTCAATTTAGCTTTTTTTTCACTGTCTTCTTCAAGGTGAGCKATCAAATTTAATTTAACCAGAAATATTTTGCTTAGTGCACTACATCTTTTTTATTATCTGTTTTAAATTACTTACGGATACTTACTTTTACGAGATATGCAATTACCATCTTCAAGGGAAAGTAAACACAGCTTAACCTACACTGATACATTCAGCTTTACTCACTATATTTCAGCTTACCTAGGAGAGATGTTACCCACAAAAGCAAAATGTAACTCCTAGCACGAGAACTCCTTAATGGAGAATTTCGCTTATTGGTTGTCTCTCATATTTTGATACTATAATAAACTAAGACAACGTCTTTCACCATGTTACAGTCAAAGGCAGATTTTTGAATTATTTCAAATCTTCTCTCAATAACAAACAGTAGATGCACTTCCCATAGATTGTTTTGCCCTTCCTGGTATGTGTCATGTAAGTCCCACTTTTTCAAACCTATGCAAGAAAGCCCATTATGGACAAATCTTACCTATCAGTCCTGCCTTTTCCTAGCTTTCTTCCTCTAAAATAAAACTTCTGTGTTCCTCTTCATCTGTGACTATGAAGCAGTATGCTCTACATGCAAAAGCTCCACAGAAAAGTATACCCACTTTTTCAGTTTTTAAGAAATATAATTATTTTATTTTTAACAGACTCATTTTATTTTTGACCCATGTTAAACCATGTATGACCACATCACAGGCAGCCTAGTTATCCTGCACACACCGAGCTCCACATTCTCCAAGTACATATCCCACCTAGTGACCTGAKAAAAGCAGGAGAAGGATAGGGTGGGAATAAGAGAGGAAAGATTCACCGCAAAYGCTATGATGTCCACCTCATATTAATGCGCACGCTAACACAGAGGTACGATTTCTAGATGATTTTGCAGAAACTTAAAACTGGCCATCCTAAAACGACACCTATGGAGGGAACCCCCTTTACAGGACCCCTTGCAGRGGGGTCGTGGCTCTGCACCATACGTGGTCAAGCTCCGAGCTCTCGGACATGGGGCATCCGGCACTGACTTGCACCAATCCAAAGCACGTCCAGAAGTTTCCTTCCTCACGTGGGCAGCAGTTAACAGTCCTACACTCATCTGTTTGCACTCTCTCTACCTGCGGAACTGGCAGCACTGACTCTCTCCACGTATGCCCCGCTTTCATCCCTATCCCTAGCTGAGTATTTTCCACTTCTTCATTATTCATGGCCTCCGTTTTCCCTGCTTCCTATCCGCACACCTGATCAGTGGCGCATCTATTATTAACATGCCATGGCTGTGTACAGGGCACTCCACTGACACACAAGGCGACAGCAGCCGCCTGCTACCTCCTCTCCCCCGTCCAACAGCAGCTTTGGACGTGCAAAGGGTAAAAAAGCAGTCCCGAAGTCAGCCAGCTGGTCTGGCAAGAGGTGGAAGGGGGAGAAGCGAGTCCTCTGCTCAGCTAATGCTGCTAACATCAGCGCTCCTGAGGCCCCAGCAGGAACGCACACAAACACCTTGTGCCAAAGACACGCACGGGACAGACACAAAACACACCGGTGCCAAAAAACTTTGCTCTTGCACGTCTCCATTGCCTGAAAACGGCACTTTCGAGGCGCGGATGCAAAACCCTCCTGCTGGATTTGCCTCCCTCGGCAGGGACGGGAGCGGGGCAGCTCCGTGTGGGAGTGGGGTGGCCGGGGGGCCCTGCGCTTCAGGACACCCGCACGCCCCACGGCATGGGCTGCCGCGGCCGGCGCCTCGCAGGCGCTCGCCCAGCATCACGGCTCAACCATCATCACCATCATCATCGTCGTCGTGGCTGGACCATCACCACCGCTCGCCCCAGCGCCCCGGCGCGGCCGCAGGGGCGCTCCAAACTTGGCGGGCAGTGACACAACGGAGAGCACCACCAGACACGCGTCGCTCCGATCCGCCCCACGCGAAAGGGGCGCTCCGCGCACGCGGAATAGGCGCAGCCCCGCGAAGCCCCGTGTGCCGCTGAGCGCCCGTTCCCAAACTTTGAATCCACGTAGCCTGCACTGCTGCCCACGGAAACCACGCTGGGCCGCCCGGCCCGGCGTGTGCCGCACAACTGCTTGCTTCCGAGGCAGCCAACTTGCCATGCCCTACATATGTGCCTCACATTTTGAGGCTAAATGTCAGGAAAGCCTAGCACGCCGCGGCAGCAGATGTGTCAGGCTACAGATATATAAATAAATGGAGGGAAAGGGGGGAAAGCGGCCATCTGATGACACTTTCCCAGCGCAGCRGCGCCCGGGCGCAGCAGCAGAGCGGCTTTTCCGCGGGCGGGCGGGCGCTGGGATCCAGGGAGCTCCAGGTGCGCTGCCCGGCGCCGGGATGTCCCGGCGGGCGCCCCGGGCGCCTCCCGCGGGGCACCTGCGGCCGCGGCCGCCCCGGGGGCGCCGGCTCGGGCCGGGGCCGGGACAAAGTCCTTGCGCGGGGCCGGGCCGGGCCGGGCCGTGCGGGGCCCGCGCCGCTGGGGAGCGGGAGCGGGATCAGGAGCGGGATCAGGACGGCGCTGGCGGGGCTCACCTGTCCGATGTTGAGGTAGCCGTACTTGGCGGCGATCCTGTCGGCCTCGGCGAGCCCGCCGGCGATGCGCACAGCCCAGTGGTTGGTGTAGAGGCGCGTCCTGCAGGCGGGCAGCAGGAAGCCGAGCACCAGGGTGAGCAGGCAGAGCAGGTCCCCGCCGCCGCCGCCTCCCCCGCAGCAGCGGCGCTTCCAGCCCATCTTGGCCGCCGCCGCCGCGCGGCCCCCMCAAAACTTCGCCTCGCTCCTTCCGCGGCGCCGCAGTCAGCCCGAGCGGGAGGCGACGCGGCGCCCGGGACAGCGCATTGACCCGCCGGCGCTCGCGGTGCCCGGGGCCGGCGGCGGCGACGCGGGCAAGCGCGCTCCGCTCCTCCCGCCGCT